TAAGTCAATGTAATTTGAGGGGTGAATTTCACTAAGTAAATGTCTGTACACAATAGTATAGTATTAGAAATCTGCAAAAGAAATACTGAGTTATTGGAAGGTTTATAATTAAATGGAGCATGGGAAATATGAAGTAAAAATTTTTTAGGTATGGTGGATCTAGTATGGTATTATTTAGATAAAAGGTAATTTATAGTGCTAGCGGTGATAAGGTCTTTAGAAATAATTACGTTCTTTGTGGGTAGGATACTGAAGTTTTGGGACATAAATAATTAGACCAAGGTCATATGACTGCAGTGTACCAAATCCTCATTGCTAATGTGTTTTTGAATATATTTTGAATGAGTAAATTAAATGTATTATGTGTAGAAGATGTTCATAAAATTGCCACTTTGAGGCAATTACCTGAGGGAAGTTATTTCAAAAAAATTTTACCATTAATGTCTATATTAGAAAACGGAATGTTTGTATTCCTTAAAATATTTATGCTTTGAAGAAAAGTTAGAAGACATAATACTTTTAAAACATGGCAATGTAAGGAAAAATGAAATAGAATTGGTTCTAGTAGTTTTATTTCCAGCAGCGCTTTGACTATGTAATTGGAAGGTAGCTTTATGGAAACTTTTGAAGTTGGAGGAAGATTTCAGCTGGAGTGTCTTAGGGTCACTTAAAAAAAAAACCCATCTATATTAAAATAAAATGTGTCCAAGCTTAAAAGAAAAGATCTCAGAGTTTGCAGATGATCCTAAAATTGGAGCTAGAGGAAATAATGAGGAACAATGCAATCAGATTCAAAAAGATTTGGATTGTTTAGGTGATTGGGCCAGCAGATGGCAAATGCAGTTCAGTGTAGACAAATGTAAAATAATTATCTTAGGAACAAAGAACCAATCATACAGCACACTGATCAGGAAAAAATTTGTGGGTTATTGTAGGAAAACCATTGAAACAGTTAACCCGGTGCACAGCTGCAGCAAAAAAGGCAAGCAAGAAACCAAATTAGCAGACGGATAGAATATAAAGCAAGAGGCAATACTTATAGTGTATTAAGAAACTTGCTAGACCCCATCTAAATTACTCAGTCTAGTATTGGTTGATGGAACCACTTTAGAAAGAGTAAATTTTTGCTTTGGAAATAGACTAGAAATTGTAACAAGCAAATCTAATAATGTTAAAGAGATTTGAACTAATTTTTATGAACTTTAAGTTTGTGAACCTTTTTAGATACAAGCAACACACTGAGTCCAAGTAATGGTACTTTCCGGTCTGTCCACTACCAAAACTTGATCTTAGTAGAGGACATGTATAGTTTCAGCTGCTTTCTTTCCAGTTTAGGTAGAAGTCTGTCCCTCACCTCTCTTGACTAAAGAAGCCTAAGAGCTGGTACGAGGTATTTCTACAGCCCAAAAGCTGCACTGTAGTACCTAGAGCCGTCATGGCCGTGAGTTCTGAGAGCTGCTGATGAGATGCTCCTCCCTGGCCTGTTACTCTTGAAGCAGTAACATACCTTGCAAGCTACATTCCAGGCTATGGAGGCAGGACTTTGTGATTTTCTTCATTCCTGTACAAGCTTGATTCTCCAGCCTAGTCTCATTTTTTTTTTTTTTTTGAGCTACTCAGTACACAGACAATAAATTCCATTTTGACTTGATTACCCAGAATGTGTTTGTTTATAATCAAGAACCCTAACTGGCATGGTGATGGTGTTCTGTATTTTAGCTTTGGCCATTGCATTATGTTTTTATTCTTCAGTGTGTTTGCTTTGTTTGGAGTGGTGTTGGATGAGAAGAAAGCTGAAGTACAAATATCTATCCCTCTCTCCCTATCTGTCTTCCTCCCTCTCTCCCTCTGATCTTTCTCGTAGTTGGAAAGAGGAAGGAAGAATTTGTACCAGTATCACAGTATCTGTAATTCTTGTATAAAATTTAACTTTACCCATGCAGGTGAATTGTTAAAAATGGTTTTTGGTATTTAGGCTATCGGTAAGAATAGTATGCATGTTTTGTTATATTAATATTTGGTATTTCTAAAAATCATTTTCTCCTTTTCTTTTGAAGGAAACAGTGCATGATTTTCTTAATGTCACATGAGTAATAGAGGGTGGAACCTGGAATACTGTGTAAGGTTTTCTTTTGGTTTTATATTGCTACTGATTTTGGATTTTGTTGAATGAAATATTTTGAAAAATAACACTTGTAATTTAGGAATAGTGGATTATATTTTAAGTTTGTGGTGAGTTGATTGGTCAATATTTAGAATTGGTTTTAATCTATAAGCAATGTTTTAAATAGTGGTTAGATTTTCAGTTTATTACATATACCATTTTGACTTATTTTTTAGTTAAATTATTAGTTCAGTGTATGGATGCTTGAGACATAGCCACACTCAGTAAAGTAAGGAAAAAAGTAATGGGAGCTTTTTTATTTTTCTTTCTTTTTTTCTTTTTTTGTTTTAGAGGTGGTAGACAGGGCTGTTCCTTGGAAAAATTTTTGAAATAATCAATAATTTGTTTTTGAATTTTTTCTTCATTTTTAAAAGTGAAGTGGAGCCCTCCCAATAGAAAAATATCCTTGAGTCTATTACTCATACACCTGTAGGTTGCCAGAACTTTTACTCCTCTAAAAACTATATGTATCATGGGATGTCCTGCCTTCCAAAATAAGTATCCCATGATTCAGATTTGACACCTCCATGCCCCACTCTGTCCCAAATATATGTAGATTATGGACAGTATTAGGAGAAAAGAGCTGTGTTACTGAACTATTTGAAACATCTATTTAATAGTCCTTTCTTAAAGATTATTCTTTTATGAAGAGACTACTTAGTTCTTTCAAATGTTGGTTAGTATGTCTCAGTGAAGGAAAATGATTCATCTAGTTCAGGGAAATATTTTTGGTTGTTTTGCATAGTTAGGGACTGCCTGTATCATATATGTTTTATAATAAAGAAAATAAATTTACTTAGAAAATTCATTATTTTAAGTATGTGATTGTTAAGGGTAGTCGAAGTTTTACATTCTAACCTTTAAATTGTTTGAGATCTTTGTATAATGGAAAGTGTGAGTAGTTTTTTTGTTTTAAAATACAACTGATATATCTTTTTAAAAAGCTTTTATTTATTTGCTTTTAGAGAGAGGGGAAGGGTGGGAGAAAGGGAGAGAAACATCAATGTTTGAGAGATACATTGATTGGTTGCCTCTCACAAGCCCCCAACTGGGGACCTGGCCTGTAACCCAGGCAGGTTCCCTGACTGGGAATCAAACCAATGACCTTTAGTTTCACAGGTCAGCACTCAGTCCACTGAGCCACACCAGTCAGGGCCGTGAATAGTTTTTCCTACATTATGTACTTGTGTAGAAAGAGATGTGTGGGACATGGGCCCGAAATACTTAGCAGATGATTATATATTGCAGTTGGCATGCCAGATTGTTGAAGACTAGTCTGCATGTCTGCAAGGTAGCATAATGGTCCCTTTAGGGTTAGCGTCAAGACCCACTACCCAACCTCCATGCCCTCCCCAGAGGAATGTATTTTATCCTTCTTGTCTGCACTGCAGGTTCCTCTTAAGGCACAGACTCTGGAGCTAACCACTTCTTTTGCTACTTGCAGTTAAGCTCAGCTGCTGCTGTGGGGCAATGGGAGGGTCGGGCTGATAACTTTTGGGATTCCTGGTCAGTTCCTGAATAAAAAGACATGCCTTCACTTTCAGAGTGCACAAAGTATAGAGATGGGGTCTGTGCCTAACACCTGCTTTATATACTAGTCTGTTGGATGTTCAGCGGCTGCCTTTTCCTTGCCCAAAACCTTTTTTTTTCTTTTAAGTTATTGTTAGGTTTGGAGTCATTTCCAAAAACCAATGGCTCTGGATAGCTTATCTTTGTAGTGAGAATTTTTTGCATTTAGCTCTGCCTGCCTGCCTGCCTTTCCCCGCTACCCCCCCTCCCCGCCCCGTTAGTTCCTTCACCCCCCCTTCCTCCACTGCTTCTTCCTTCCTTCCTTTTTTCTTTTTTTTGGTGATAATTTTGCTTATTTCTGGCCTAAAGAAAATGGTTGTTAGAAAATTCTGTGTAAAAATGCAACTTGTCAGTTTATTCTAAAAAATATTAAGTAATTATTAGTAAGAAGGGATTAAATAAGTTTAAAAATTTTAATATAAAAATAGGATCTCACATCTCTATTACTGTTTTTTGCTAACTGTAATGGTCAGGAAATATAAATCTATATCATCTCTTTTAAAAGTTGCATCACATTCTACTTGGTTTAACCAGTTCCCACTGATGACAATTTTGGTCATTAGAATTTTTCACTATTACGTAAAAAGCGCTGCATTCAAAATACTTTTGCTAAAGTTTGTATATGTCTCTCATTATTTCTAAAAGGATAAATTCTGTAAGTGGAATTATTGATAAAAGGATAATAATTACATTGTTAAGGCTTTTGATACTTATTGCTAAAATTTCCATGTTTTACTCGCACCAAAAATTTTTGAGAATCCTGTTTATTTCCACATCAACAGCAAGCTTTAATACTTAAAAAAAAAACTTTGATAATTTTATAGGTGAAAAGTAGTACCTTGTGTTAATGTACATGTTTAATGCTATTGACCTTTTGTATTTATTTTATAATTTTCTCCTTAATATCACTTACCTGTTATTAATGTGTTTTTCTCATAGTTACTTGAGTACTAAGTTACATGGTAAAAAGCGACCCTTTTCAGGAATGTTGGCAGTATTTTTTTTTTTTCTGTATTTGTATGTGTGTGTGTATATATATATTTTTAAAACTACTGAGTTGAAGTACTGCTTTGTTTTTGTTTTATTTTGGGGCTATGTAGGCCTTCAAAATTTAATCAAATGTGTTGTTTTACACAATTTTTAAAAAAATTTTTAGTATTAAAATTTTTTTAATTAAAATTTTTTAAAAATTTAAAATTTTTAAAAGGATTTTTACCTGTTGGCTTTTGGACATAAAGTCTGCATTTTCTGTTTATTGTCTTTACAGACATTGATGTTCATGTAAACTCATAATCAGAAACATAAAGAAGAGAGGACTGAACTGTTGCCAGCTGACTGTGATCTTGAATCTCAGCTTCTACATCTATAAAGTGAAGGTATTTGTTTGGTACAGTGCTGTTCCTTCAGTTACTTTGTCCAAGAACCACATTAAGAAATAAAGTTTAAATCATAAGCTAAAACTCACATATGCACACTTATATAAGATACATGTTTGTGTGTGTAAACATACACTACATGTTGTACTTTTTGTGTGTCATGCCATATCATGCCATGCAAGGCCAGACTATTTATAAAAAACCCCTGCTGTGTGCAACTTACTAAATTCCTTTCATTACCCCACAGTGGGGTGTCACAGTTCGTGAAATGTCACTGATCCTAGAGCATTGGACACTTAAATGCCTTCTAGGGCTGACCAGATAACAGGTGCAGGTACCTTGCCACTTTAGCATATCAGAGGGCCTGGGTCCTATCTAAAGGCATTCAAAGTAAAATAAAACAAAGCTTGTTAGGTCAGTAAACATTTTCAGGTGGAATACAGCCTGCTAATGTGAGCGCCTAGCTCAGGCTAGAGGGAAAAAACCCACAGACAAAATACGAGCTTATTACTCTATCAGATTGTTATAAAATATTTTAAACAAAACAGTGCATGTTCAGGCAGTGAACCACAGAACTAGATGAGTAGCATCTATCTAGTCTAGATGCTGATCTTTGGATACCTTCCTGTTCTAAAAGTCCGTGGCTCTGTGACAACTCTAGACATGGAAATTAGGAGATGAAATGGCCTCACTCAGTTTTTCTGTGATAGGATCTGAAGAATAGAAACGTAAAAGAGATTATTCTAGGCACTGAGTTACTCTGGAGGCTGATTAAAGGAGGAGGTGAACTTTGACCTTTTCCTGTCAAGCAAAGGTGATGACACCATATCCCAGCAACTGTGCCCCCAAACAGAAAATGCTGAGGAATAACCAGTGAAAAATCATATAGAAGTTCAGTGTCATTGAAAAAGTACAGCAGCATTTGTATACCTACTAAATCTTGCATATGTGTACACACAGAATTATTTTTATGACCTGATTTTCTAGTTTTGGGGGCAAAGCTGTGTATACCTGCAAGAGAGATGCTGTGATGTACAACCATTACGGCTCACTCTGGTGACTTGGGTAATTGTAATGGAACCATGGAGCCATTAGGCTCCAGATGGAACTTTAATCTGGCTTCTGATTGAGCCAAGTGTCCTTGTAGAGTCTCTAAGCATCTGTTTTGGAAATATATGTGACATTATTCAAAATTTGTACAAATTAAGCCACCCTTGGGTTATAATTCAATTTTTCTTTATTGAGAAATGTATTGTAAACAGTTTTATGCAATCAAGTAAAACTAGCCTGTACCCATTATTTATTTGCATATTAACTGGTCATTTGTATTTTTGTAATTGAACTCTTAATGGATTTAAGAAAGCTTACATTACTTCTAAAATTGTTATTTGTTTATAAAATCTGAAGACTGCTTTCTAGTTTTAAATAGCTTCCACATTGGTACTTATTATTGAGACACTATTTAAAAATGTATAAAATTATGGTGATTTTTACCTTTGAATGACAGAAACCCCCAAATAATCTTCCTCATTCCAGAATGAAGTTTATTTTCTCCTGTAAACAGAAATTCAGAGGTAGAGGAGGCTCTAGGGATTGGTCTCCAAACACTGTGTGAACAGGTACCAGCTTGGTTTATCTGTTCATTCATTTGCCTTTGTACTGGTTTCCTTCGTGGTCATACGATGGCTGGCCATTCAGCAGCTGGAGCAACAAACATCCTTTAGTTCCAGCAGAGAGAAAAGGAAGAATTTTCCCCTTCATTGAATTTCAAAATTTTTTTCATTCTGTTTTATTGGCCTACTTTAGACCACATGCTCATACTGCTTTTAATTAATTGTTCTCCTATTTACAGAACACAGAAATTAAAATTATATTGTGGGAAGAAATACTAGTTAGGTATTTTATAGTTGCTTTGGTTTTTCTTCCTAAGTAGAGACTGGAAAAACTCCTTTTTTATTTTGGGGGTTATAAATATTACCTGGCCCAGGTGAAGTGTGAGGAGATTGCATTATTAAATAAATGTTGGTGACATTTTGTCAGGATTATATTCTCTAAAATATATTATTGCTACTATTTGTTCCTTCCCCCAAAGGAAGCAGTACAGTTCTTTGGACCCCTGGTCCTTGGCATGCGTAGCTAAGTTTAATTAAAAAAAAATTGTATAATTCACATATACCAAATATTTAGTTAAGTTTTAACAATTGAGGATGAGTACTGGAAATGAAGAGGTATGAATTCATGGTAGAAATATCTTACCCTGGATTTAAGTTGGGAAATATTGAAAATGCTGATAGAAAAGAGAAACATTCCTAAAGGAGAATTACAGCAAATGTAGATTTTAGTTTTACATTGTCTGTTCCTATACGGTAGTATTTGATCAGATCTCTCTGAAGGGTATAAAGCTGTGTTTTTCTTCCAGTTCGTTCACTGCTAAATTTCCCTTGCCCTTTCATGTGTCAAAAATACATCATTGCCAAAACCATTATTTTGGATTTTGTAATTAATTGATCAGAGGTAGTTTTGACTGTAAACAGTTTGATAAGCAACTACTAGAATGAATAAGTACCTGTTTAACTCTTTAAGGGTTTGAAAAACAGTCATGACATTGTGGATATCTCCCTTGCATTCATCTCTCACAGGTCACGGTGATTGTCCCTCTTGCTTGTGTCTGGAATCGGTTTTCTGTATTCTGATTTGGAGCCTATTTATCTCTTATTTGGGTTTCTTAATCTCTGCATCATAATATTCATATGATACATGTTATTCTTCACTTCTTAAAAGATTTATTAGAATATAACACCTTGCAATGTGAGTACATGTACCTGCTTACTTTAGTTTTAGAGGCTCCGTAGTATTCCAAAGTAGATGTTTGTTCTGTATAATTTTAAAATAGCCCTTCTTGATGATGAATCTCTTCATGTTACTCTTGTTAAAAGTTCCCCTCCCATCCCCTACAATGGTGATTCTTAGGTCAGGGAACACTCGTTTTCCAAGGATGGGTAAGTCTGAACCATGTGTGAGCGTTTTTAAACTCTCTCCATAAAATTTTGATATACTTTCTTCGTTGAGAATTTCTCTTGTAGTAGGAACTGTAACCATTTCAGATAGTAATGACAAAACATTATAAACTCCCTAGTGATCTGACCTTCTTGCCCCCTGCAATCTAATAATTTTGAATAGCTTGCCTTTTCCTTGGCTGGAAATGTTTTCTCTTTCACTTCTTTGCACTAATGTGTCTTTTTACTCTGCTTGAAAATGCTTCTTTTCTTTTTGTATTCATTCTGATACTTTATCCCTTCTGGATTAACTGCTCGTGAGCTGTTTACCAGGAACACTTGTAATTCATTCTAAACTTACCCTCTAGTAAATTTTAAGCTACGTGAGGACAGAATGGTGTTACGATCTTTACAGTTTTAGTATGTAATTGTACATAGTACACATGGTAGCAGATGAATTATCTAATTACATGAACGAAATTTAGTGGAATTATTACAGAAATATACTTAATATGTTTTTGCATAAAATAGCTATGAGAGTTAAACTTTTAAATTTACACAAGGTGGAGCAGCGCAGAGATGCCGACTCTCTGAAGAGGCTGAATGACTGATGGGCTCGCAAGCTCAGTGTCCCAAGCCTGGTCGCCGCCTGTTTAATGCAGCTTAAATAGGGTATGCCCGTTAAGGGTGGGTTGGGGTTGGTCTGCCATGATTGTAAAAGGAGATGCCCAAAGGTTGAAGTTGATAGTACTTATCACAGCATTGGCAGGAAGATTTTTAACATTCTGGTTTCTAGCTCTCGATAAAGAGAAACACGCAGGGAGTTGCAGATGGATACTCCAGATTTTTCTTGCAGGTGGAATAGTGATTAAGAGAGAGATTTGACAGACAGGGTTGCAATTCTTTATTACTTGCTAGCTGTGTGTTCTTGGTCAAGGCTTTCATCCTCCTTCTGACACAATGTATTCATCTGTAAAATGGTGATAGTAATAGCACCTACATCAAAGAGTTGTGGTGAGATTTAAATGAGACGATACATGTAAAAATTCTTAGAACTGTTCCTATGGTAAGTACTATGTATTAGGTGGTATTGTTCCCCTAATACTTGGGTCTCCTATCTCTTCTTGTTCTAAAAAAAATCTTAGGTTTTTTGACTTTCTGTATAGGTTTGTCTGCAGGAAGAGAATGTGCTAGTTATGCTGTTACAAAAGTTCCAGTCCTGTGGCACAAATGTTCCCAGTTCTTTGGTATTTATTTTCCAATATATGATGAAAGACTCAAGAGTCAGGCCTGTTTCTTGACTTTGATTAATTTTTTTTTTACCATAAATCATTCCATTCTTGAATGTTCTATCAGAATCCACTTTCTAGCCAGCTTGGCTGAAAGCCAGACCTGGAGCCTATTAAATCCTTAGAGTAATGACTGCCCTTCCATGACACTTCTTGAGAGCCAGCCCTTGTGTTGCCCTCTGACAAGACCATACCTCGTCCCAGCAGCACTGTGGGCCCAGGTGCTTGAACTGTTCCCCTATTTGAACATGTATTCTTGTATGTATGCAGCTGTATGTTTGACAGTGACTGAAATTTCCAGTTCATCCTTTTCTAGTGAAAAAATATATGAAAGCATATGAAATACATCCAGCCCACAAAATATACTCACTAAAACACACACACACACACACATTTGACATGTACTGAAATGATCTTGAAGAGCAGGGTCTGGGTTTGGGTCTATTTTATTTCTGTTTTACTTTGGATTGTATTTGCAAGGGGTATTTGAAATTAGTTCAAATTTAAAAATGTGCAGACGGAAGAGGAGTAGAAATCTGAGAGCAGGGCTTGCTTTTAAGATTATAGGAAGTGCTTTTAACTTTGAGGCAACATAACAAAACAAACCTTGAGCTTTTCTCTGTGTGGCACCTTTCTGTCTGGTTACTATCACAAGTTTCTCTCTCAGTATCATTTTAGCTTGCGTCCTTAGTTTTCCTACTGTGGTATCCAGGGC